CTTGGTGTGTCTCAGCAAGCCAAACAAAGACCCGCATCAACCGTCGGGTTCTAGGCCGATAGGACTTTCACACCCGCTCTCCAAGAGCATGAACAGGCTTTTGAGAGATCAACTCAAACCTTATCTTGACCCGAAACTTGCTTGCGTGCCTCAGTACACATACACAGCGGGCAGGGGAGTCCTTGATGCATTGTTGAGAGTACATCATCATGTCCGTAAAGCCCGCCAGATTTTGTTGAAAAGCAAAGCGACCATATATCCGCAACATCAAGGTGAGAAATCGAAACCCTGTGCAGGTGGTTTATGTTTTTCCCTCCACTTGGAGGGCGCCTTTGATAGTGTGCCGCGCGCACTATGCTGGCGGATAGCCTGAGAGGTCTACAGGTACCAGATGACATCATCCATCTCATCATGGCTAGGTATTTTTGAAGTATTCAACATGAAGACTTTGTGACAATTACATGCGGTTTTTTTTCAGCAAGGTTGCACACTTGCGCCGTATTTGTTCGTGGCGCACGCGTTGGCCATCATTGAAGATGTACAGGCCACTTTAGGGGTCGCTTGGGTTCAAAAGTTTCTGACCTTTTTGTGATGACGCAATTGCTACCTGGGAAATTGAAAATTTACAGGAGCTGAAAATACTTTCAGAGGCATGGCATGAAACTTAGCAATGATAAATCTGTTATCTTGTACGATCTTCAGGGGAAGGAGGCTAATAAGTTTCTGGCGAAAAGGAAGGTCAGAAAGAATCAGATGGCACATTTTTAAGTTTAGCCAGCTTGGGTCAGACTTTTGGGTCCCCATAAAAAGTACCGTGAGTACCTGGGCGCAATTATTGTGTATCGAGATGCGCAAGCCAGAACTGCCTCACACAGGTTGAAAAAGGCAAGAGGACAGTACAGTCAGCTCAGAAACACGATCAACTCGGCAAGGCTCATCAGCAATCGGCCTAGATATCAAGTCTGGCGCTCGGGTGTGCTCAGCTCGGCGGTGTATGGATTGCTTGCTGTAGGTCTTGGGCCGCGGCCAACCAGCAAAAGAGCGTTGCAGGCCATGGCGGCAAGACAAATGCGCGCGATTGCAAGGCGCCCAGCGCACTTAGCACGCGTCACACATGAAGAGGTGCAACATATCCTTAGGGCTGAGGATGCCATTGAAGCACTTATGCAACAAGGGGCTAGGTATAGGAGCAAACTGGAAGAGATAAGCAGGAATGAGCCAGATGACATCAGGCAAATGTCCTTTGTTAAAGAGCAACTCTATTACGTCCTAACGACGCTGGGCCCTTCAGAACCGAGTCAATAGGGACAGCCAAATATGGCCCCTGAACAAGAGCTCTATACCTGTCACCAATGTTCCAAAAAGTTCTGTTCAATAACAAGCCTCAAAAAGCACATGGCGATCAGCCATATGGTTAAAATCACCCAAGGTGTTGTTTTCGACGCTGCGCGTCATGCAGGTGGCAATCTCCCGCAATGTGCCTTCTGCAAACATAAGTTTGGAGAATGGCGTGGGTTGAAAATGCATATCCAGCGTATGAACTGCCACAAACTCATGCAAAGCCAAGCGCAACCCATTATCCCAAACACTGGTGAGGCCTTTTTGGAGGTGGCTGCGTTGCCGCCGCCTGCGCACGAAGACCCTGACACTTCAAAAATGATAAAAGAAAGGGGTTGGAAGTCGCTGTTGGATTCTGCGCATGTTGAGCACTTTAAGCAGCGTTGTTGTCTGTGGGTCAGAGATCCTACTGCCTTAAAGCAAGCCGTGGAGCCCCAGCTGGAGGACAGGTGTGCAGAAGTTAAAACCGTGATTCAGCGGGACGGTACTTGCCCTTGGTGTGCTCGTACCTCTTATAGCCGTCATTTCAAACAGCGCAATGTTATTTTTCAGTGTGCATTGCTTCGACTCTTGCAGGAAGATGCCCAGCACGTGGCAACAGTTTTTTAGGAGCTGGATGCCAGCCTTGGCAGCAGGCTGGTCACTACAGAGTTGCTGCCTTTTTGCCTGGGGAACTAGGCCTATGGTATTCTGATGATAACCAGCGTGCAACTAACATCCCACATCCCACGCCTGAGATAACAGAACAGTGCTATGTGCTGGGTTGTCTGCGCAGGTGATGGGAAGACAGACCTTTTGAGGGGGTAGAACAAAACCTGTCTCTGTTTCTTGTGTGCCATACATGGCCACAACCTCCACTCTTGCAACTGTGCCTGCAAAAAAGTGTTTTCTTTCGCCTGCCGTGGTAGTAGAGTGTTGACTGCGCTCTGCGAGTTTCGTCCTTAGCAGTAAGTGTTTGCATTCTTTGCTGCTCAAGCTTCTCTTGGGAGCTTTTTGAGGCCCCAACTTTTGTTAGCGCTGCGCCCAGTGCGCTGCAGCACCCTCCCACAGTTAGCGAGCTACGGCTCCTGTGGGGTAGCACCTTCACCTGTTTCACTCCCATTAGGTATCGCTGCCACAGAGCAGCCGCGACATCTGTTGTGTACAAAGCTTGCTAGTAGGTCAGACCAGACCACTGCGGTTGAAAGTCGGAAAAGTGATGCCCCGAGCAGAGGCGAGGTTCAGCGCCTGATTGTCGCCGGCTGCTCGAGGTTGACTGTGCCGTATGAGGAAATCCTTAAGCGTATCCTCTGATGGGGGAAAATGACAGACGCTCCGGATTTTGCCCCACTGCTGTGAAAAGTTCGGTGTCCGACTTTGCTGTGCTCATTGCAGGAATATATTTACTGAGTGAGTGGAAGAAAATGTGTATATATACTTCTCGGTTGAGAATATATAATTGAGATGAAGTTTCTCACGGCGCATTTCCCAAATAAGGGGGCGTCTCCTCTTGCAGTATGTTACTGTGCTGATGGGTGACTTGAATGTCATATGAATTTATTTGACAAGAGTCTTTGGAGTGAGCATTGATTCCAATATGGCATATTGGATTCGAATACCTATTCGGTGAAAGAAGCGTTCTTACTTGTAGACAGCAAATCAAAACTTTGGTTTGTATGCATGTCATGATGTGCGAAATAATTTTCGTGTACATGAGGTTGCGCCCTCATGGACTTTGTAAACATGTCCATGCTGATGTGTGCTCTTGCAAGCTTTGTGTTCTGAGGTAGAGCTTCGGGAAAATTTGTCGCCACCCACCTACCCACCATTTCATATAGAAGTTTGGGATTGTCCGCACTCCCGAAGTGGGATGGGGGAATGCCGGATTTCCGCACTCAGTGAAGTCTGTTCCTCCTTTGTGCCTAGTGGCTTAGTTGTGCAAACATGCATGCATGGCTTTTGCGGAAAAAGAAGGGACCGATCAAGCAGTTTAGTCCCGTGTTTGGTGAGTATGTTACGAATGAAATCATATTCGTTGATGCGACGGGAAAATTTTATTTTTTTCAATATGCGAATGAAACATATTTACATGTCCTTCACGGAAAGGAGATAAGAATGCTCGGGATGGGCCACCCAAGGTTTGCGCTCGCCTCGCATACACACAGTGACCCCAGCGCGGCACTTTGCGCCCGACCGAAAAAGAAAGAAAGAAAAAAAAATCGCCGCCGGCACTTCACATGTCAGCTCGCACGGAAGTGTATGACTTGTTTGAACTTTGCCCATGTTTTGGATGAGTTTTCCTCCTGATTGAGCTCTTTCTCCGAGATGCAAGCAATTTTATTGTTGGAAATACGGTATCGAAACTTAGACCCCCCGCCAGTGGTTCTTTTCTGACTTTGAAGTGGAGATTCTGTCCAAAAAAGATTACAGTTATTTGTATAATTCCAATGCAAGAGGCAAACAGAAAAGTTGGTTGTAGCGTAGTTGTCTTTTTGCGCAAATAAATTGAGCCAGAGGTGTACATTCGATGTTTCGACGGATGCTGTGAGAGGCATATTGGCTTGAGCGCGGTTGTGTAATGCGTGCTTCTCCTTAAGGGCCTTTTTCCATGTTTCCACGCTTTCGGGCCGGTGTGTGCAGAGGTTCAGTTCATGGCATGGGTCAGGTGTAGTTCAGACAGATTCGGGAGGTGTGCAGAGGTGCTCGTGTGTTTTCGATTTGTGGGTTTTTCCATTAGCACGAAATTTGCTGAGCAGGTGCAGCAACTGCTGGAGTGTGTATGGACGTGGAGCCCCCCTGACGGAACATGAAGAGCACAATCATCGTGAGTCTCAGCTTAAAGGTCCAGAGAGTTCATTTGCAACAAGCAAAAAGTTCGGCAGTGGATCCTGTCGGGCCCGACGTGGAGTGTCTGCCAAGAGAAGACTGCGATTTTTGTAGAATTCTGTATGGGATGCATCCCATCATGTTGCCGCGTTTGTTTTGTGCGCAAAATAAAGGCATGAGCGTACTTGGGTTGTTCTTTCGGGACATCACGAATGAAGATCCAGCCTCAGTTGCAATTGGCACAGGGAAAGCCAGAAGGCGCGATGGTTCAAGAGTTAGGTTTGCCAAGCGAAGCTGTTTCCCTGCCGAAAATCACGGGCAAACGAAAAGCTGGCGTAGCCAGCTTCAGCTTACCCGGCTTTGGGTCAGCTTCCATGAATGCAGAAACTACATCAACAGCAAAGTTTGCCTCAGACTCGACATTTCGTGCTTTGTTGCTGCAGCTGGAGGCAGTGCATTTCGAGGAGACTAGGAAACTTCGTGTTGAACTGGCATCCTTGGCATCCGTGACCACCATTCCCAGCACCGACAACAGTTTGGATACTCGCCCTTCTCCGCGTGCCTCCCCTAAGCGGGTGCAGCCAACTGAGGGAGATTCGCGGGTTCGCGACGGGGAAGTCGAAGAAAGCTACAATGCGAAGTTGGGAACGGAAGACACATCCAAAAGATCAGAAGGCGCCCAAGCTGAGCAGGTCGAACTCCACATGGGCCACAGCTTTGGCTGTGCTTGCTGCGTTCCAGAACGCCCGAGCCGCCCGAACCCATCTGAAGACTCGGATCCGGACATCACCAATCAGGAAGACTTAGCATTCCTTTACGAGCGATTCTCGGATGTTTTCCTGGGAAGCCGCTTTGAAATGTGCGTGGTGGCCTTGCTGCTTCTGAATATCTTATTGATGGCTTCTCAACTCCAGTACCACGGCTACAAGATTGGCTACATGATTGGAATCTATTCCGAGCCCGCAGAGCAGTATTGGCCTCATTTTGAAGAAATCTTTTTCATTTGTGATTTCATTTTTGCTTTGCTATTCACAGTGGAAATGTTGATTCGGCTCTGCCACATCCGCTGCCTCGCCTTCTGCAAGCAGTGGCTCAACTGGATTGATGTCATAGTGGTCATCAGCTTCCCGGAGGAAACTTCATCATTTTCACTGATCATTGACAGCAGCCGGTAAAAAAACGTTTGTTGACCTCTGCGAAAGGCTCTTGGGTGGAGCTTTTGGCAACTGCGCTGCCCATAAGTCCCACATTTCTGCACCTTGCCTGCAGTAAGAGCTGTGCGTACTACAGACCTTCCACCCAACAAGTTTTTGCTTTCAGCACAATCCGCGGCTTGGAACTGCGCGGGGAGTTCTCCAAGCTACCCGTATTTCCAGGGGTCCTTATAGTGTTGGTCTTTGAATGTGATGGGCACATTCGGGTCCCGGATGTTTCAAAATCCATGTAATCGGAGCACCAAGGTATCCTCAAGTGAAAGCAGCTGGCTGCAACATCCCGACACAGTTTTAGGAGTGATGGTTATTCGTAATCCACAAGTCACCCATGGGTGACATGTCCACAGCCAAAGTTCCTGCCCGATACCCATGCAGAAGGTTGTTTGGACTTGGCTCGCTGACACTAAAGATTTCCTGGGGAAACGGCTACAACATTACCCTTAATCCTGTAGAACCCCATGGAGGTTTCTTGTTCTCAGACAACTAGTTTGCGCTCAAGCGCTGAGTTCCGTCATAATTTCATTTATCAATAGCAGCACTCCTTAAAGCCCTACACAATTTTGTCTAACCCAATTCCCCCAACTGAGTGCAAGCATGATGTTTGCGTGGCTTCACTTTGCTCGCAACCACTTGCTGTTGATTCTTCTTCAGAGACACCGCGTAGGTATTTCTCGAAAACCCTCTAAGCAAACGCTTATAACCCTGTTATAGTTCCCCTATATCTTGGGTCCCCAAGGGCCGCCCCTTTTGAGAAACTGCCATGGGGTGTCCGCTGTCAGTCCTATCACTCCAAGCCTCCGTCAAGCTTAGATCCTGTTTGCCGTGTAGGTTTCTACATGCAAGTTGTGGCTGACGTAGACATTAAGGGTGTGTTGGGGTTTGGGTAGATCATTTTTATGATATCGTTATTGGCAGTCTGTAAGATGAGCTCTAGATAATCAAGGCGTATGTTGCGCCTGGGCAAGCTACTTCGGGCCCTGCGCGTGGTGAAAATGCATCTTGTCAGTTTTAGGATTTCTCAAAATCACCCAGGCCCCCGAAAAACCAAACCCAAAACCCTAAATCCAGTTGGTAGTCCATCATTGTGGGGTCCACTTAGCTTAGCAACCATTTCCAGACATTTAAGGGCTGATGCAAGCTGGCGTATCATAGCATTCATCGCTTTTGGGATGTTTTAATGTTTCCTTCTGTGGGTTTCTAGGACAATCCAGCGACAAACTGAAGGCCTAGGATGGGAAAATTCCAAGTGCATAACAGATACACTAATATGCACCTACTCCAGGAAACAAACCCATTATACTTTTGCATGGGTCCTCTTCCCCGCCAATGGTCCATGGTATACAGTATGATTAACCTAGTACTTCTTCTGGTACTAGGGTCCTGTGCTATAGGTTTAGTGTGTTTGAAAATTGTGCTTTTGGAGGGTTTATAGAAGGTTTATAGAGTTCATGAAGATCTCTTGTAAGGGGTATTGAAGGTTTGCAGGGAGTTCAGGGATGTTTAGCAGGTTCATAAAGGTTCATCAAGGTTTTCTGGATAAATTTTGAAGGTTCCCTGAACAGTTTTTATAAGGTTGTGTAGAATGTTACAGAAGGTGTCATGTGGGATTTGCAGATTGGGGACAATGCCCGGGCTGGGGCTGGGAACTGTGAGGTCCAGAATTTTGGAATCTCTGCAGCTGCTCCTCAAGTGCATCTCAGCCAGTGCCAGGGCTGCACCCAAATCCAGTTGCCCGAGGTCTGCTCCTATAACATGCCGCTAATCTACTCCTTCATATCCTTGCATACTCCTAACGAACGCGCTATATACTTCTGATTCATATGCTCACCAGGATTGGGCATGGTTCCGAGTCTGAATGTTGGTTGCTTAGATCTTTCAGGTAGCATGTTCCCCAGCTCTCTTGAGTTACCATATTCATGTTGGTTTGCATCAGAGACCATGTAGGAATAGAGAATAGGGTTTTAGCCAGGTCAGGTGTGACCCTGCTCCGTGAACGCATGGACAAGGCGGCTCCTAACAATCAAGGCCCAATAAAGTGAAACCAAGTGCAACCCAAGGTTCCAGCCATGTTGCTTCAGGCCCCTGAACTGATGAGGATGTATCAACACACCTAAAGGAACGAAGAAGTCTTTAAAGCTCTTATGAAGGCGTGAAGATCCTCTTCTGGTCATTGGTGCTCCTGATGATTATCCAGTGCAGCGCTGGCATGACCATTTCCTACATGGTCAGTGATTTCATGACGCTCAAAAAAACAAGAGAGTGTGGGGCTTCAGCGTGTTTGGTCAACCAGTACTTCGCAGAGTTGATGCGCAGTCAAGATGAGGATGTTGATTGAGATCTGGTTTGTGGGTCGCAGAATGTTCCAGGTGTTGCTAGTGGTGATGTACATCTACTGCCCTTGGCAAACCACATGGATGTCAGGGTCGTCAAGATAATTATGATCATCCACACGTAACGGTCGGAGTTGCCGTTTGGTCCGAGGACTGCACGTGTATTTTTCTAAGTGCACACAGACTTTTGGGAGGGTCAGATTTCAAGATGTTTGGGGCGTCTGTGCGCTCACTGTCAGTGCGTGGCATGGGTAGTTCTAGCTGGAAACAAGTCAGATGCAGCTCCTTTGTGTTTTGCTCGCGCTCGTTAGTGCTGGCAGCTGTAACTTTACTTGTGGGGCGTCCAAGTTTGCCTGCGCGGCGTGGTGACAAAAAAACTGGTTTCGAGTCTTTCTTTGGGAAACTTTGTTGCAAAATGTCTGGTGGAGTAGAAAAACAGCTACATACAGCAGGGCGAGAAGGGTCATCACCATCATTCATAGAAGTCACAAGGACTGTGCAAGGTCATGCACAGTGAGAGTGCATGGATGCATCGCCCCACAGCCACCCACAGCGGCTAACTGCGATGTTCAAGCAGGCGTTACCACCTCAGGATTGCATTCATCACGTTCGGGTTGATGAGATGTGGAAGTTTGGATGTCGCATGCAAACATAGACACTTAATTGATTCTTGGCGCTGCATGGTGTGGTGGCCCAAGCTAAGGTAGTGCTTTGAGTAATGCACAGCCGTGTGGCCAAGGACTGACCCGGACATTGACGAAGAGAGGAAGTTCCAGGCAAGTAGCAGTCTGTGCAGGGTATCAGAGCCATGACTGTTTCAAACGTAGGAGGCCCAGCAACGCATGTCGTGAATTGCCATTTGGCCTCCAGGTCTTCCGCTACTACGGCACCTTCTCAAAGACCTTGCTGACCATGTTTGAGGTGGTGTTTGCCACATGTTTTCCTATGTCCTATGTAGCTTAGCCCCGTGAAAGGCAATGGGGACATTACAAGATCCATGTTGGGGTCTCACGTAGGCTTTGTGGGAAGGTAAGGCCTTCAGACTTGCAGTCGACATTTCTGACTTTGATTGGCTCAGGTGTAGTCTCTGGTCACCCTATGTCTTGCAGCTAATGCGGAATTCGGCTGTGCACACCCGCCTCCCCCCTCCGATTGCAGTTAACCCGTGTCAGGTTGCTGCATCGTTTCCCCAAATAGCAAAAGTACAACGCTTCGCGTCTGTCCGCCAGAGCGACTGCACTTAGGCCTCAAGACTGGGAACCTTCCATTACACCGCGCTTGATTTCTTCTTGGGAAACTTGAGAGTTGCTTAAGGACTGGAGAAGAGCAACCAGCAAACATTGTTGAAATATGGGGCGCTCAAGGGCTTGAGAAAGTCAAAGGTCTGTGGCAAGCTTTCGGGGAGACGGGGCCCGTGACAGTTCTCCTTATTGGGGAGGCCAGGAACCTGGAAAAAGGGGTCTCCGCAGGCCTCTCCATGACCAGAGGCAAGTTCGGAGCTCAGCTGGAGGCTGTAACTTTGTTGAAGTTGGGACCTTACCAAGGTCTCCCAACGGCCACTAAGGTTCCAAGGACTGCCCTCCCGAGTTGGAGTGATCATAAAGTCCCGCTCCGGATTGCAGCCCCTTTTTGCTACAGGCAATTCTTTCGTACAAGCCCTTCCGCCGACGACTCCCCAAACGAAGTTGTGCAGGCTTTTACAGCCTTCTCAGGAGTCAGGGCGTCCGAGGTTCTCGGCGGGAGTTGGAAGCAAACTGAATCAGGCCCCCAGTCTTTGTTGGTAGGCTTCCTCAGAGTCAAGGCCGGGTCCGCGGACCTCTTGTTGCAGGCCAGTGGGCTACGAGGGGTCTTTTCCCCTAAGGCGTCGGGACAAGAACGTCCTAAGCCATGTTGGTTAAGGCGTCAAGTCGTCGAACAAGTGGAGACGTAATTCAGACGAGCCACTCAACTTCCTAATGAGAGGCGACAACCCCTCATTTTAGAAATGTGGGTGGTAGCAATCTCGGGTTTCCTGAATGGCTTCCCGACGACTCTCAGCCGAAAGAGCCTTGCACTTGGTCATAAGGGGGGCTCCGGGGTTTTGGAAGCTCAGTCTTGGACTCAAACTCGGATCACGTCTAAGCGTAGGAGCAATTGGCATATCGAAGCACTGCCGCCTCATGCCAATTCTCTTCCTAGGTTGCTGTCCAACCTCCACGCAAAGTCAGGGCCTTGTTTGATGTCAGGGGTCCCTCACGAAAAGGCTAAAAGCAGCATGAGCAAACTAGCCCTCAGGCTCCTCCGCCCGCCCCGCAAAGCAAGGACGCCCCTGACGCTGAGCAAAAGCAAGTGCGATCCGGTAGTCGTGGCCGGAGTACATGTAGATCCAGAGAACGTGGTTCAAATCAGGCCGAAAGCCGGCCGCTACCGCACTGGACTGTGATGTGGAAAATTGCAAGGAAAAGGCCTCGAGTGCTCCTGCCTTGAATCCTAACCCCCGCCATACCGCTCTCGATCCAAAAGCGGGTTCTCAGCAATGCTGGTCTGAGGTTGGCTCGCCCCCGAAGCGGCTAAGCAAACGGAGCTTGGCTGCATTGTTATGACCTCCTGGCTCCCAGCCAGGCCCGCCAGGCGGCGGCTCATGACTTGCGTGTGACTTGGAGAGTTGCTCGTATTAAGGACTGGCTTCAGTCTAACACGAGAAGGGACTCGGCAATAGCAAGAGCCGCTCATGTTCAGGCTACTCCTGCTCTTGCAGAGCGGTTGTGCAAGCTTGCTAAGGCCGTCTCAGGAGATGCTGTCAGGCGGCATGAACACAAACGCACGATGGGCTCTTTCAGGAGCTGAGCGGCATGTTTGCCACGACTGCGGCGCAAAGTGTGCCTTCGATGGAGCACATCCTCTGGAAGTGTTCTCATCCCACATATAGGGCGCTAAGGACTAGGCCAAAGCCTCGCTCCGATCTGAGGTCACGGCTGGGTTGGTCGCCTAACGCAATGCCTTTCCAAGAGGAGGTCGCTCTCATTCCGATGATGGGCGACGTCAGGAAATCTGAGGTGCCTCTTCGTCGACAACGTGCTTCCTCGCAAGGGTGGTGCGGTTGGAGTGGTGGGCCCGGTGTGCAGTGTAGGGATGTAAGGTTTCTCGAAATTTTGGCTTAGGGTTCCCTAAACCCTTTAAGCCCTCAGCCCACGAGAAGGAGAGCGAGAATATCCGTGCGTGATTTTTCCGGATACGCATGCACGAACCTGTATTAAAAAGGGACGGCCTTCCCTGGACGCAACCCCGTGGTAGGGTACGTTTTTGCCTTCGCGCCCCGTGGTAGGTGTTGTTCGCTAATTGGGCTCCCGCTTGTAGAGTGCTGATGGACAATGTGGCCGAGTGGTACTCCTCTGTCTTCATCGTGTACCGCTGCTTCATAGGCTTCTCTGCTGTGCAAAGACAAGTTTTCTTTGGCTGCAAAGATGGACAACTTCATGCCCTGCACCCCAACTGCAGGTTTAAAGACCAACGCGCGCAGCCTCGATTCAGAGAAATCCATGGCCAAAGCCTGTGCGATACCTGTATTGGGGGAAGCCGCAGTAGGTTAGCTCAGTATAATTTTGATTGTGAAACTGGAAATATGCAAATTTGAGATTTTTGTGGGCATCCTTGCATCCAGAGCTCTGTGACCCTTTCTGACTTGAAAAAAGAACGGGCAAACAGCCGTTCCGGGTTCTTTGCGATTTTTTGTCGCGTGGGGTCCACTATGTAAAATTGGAGAACGCTGAAAAATTGCTTGTCTCAAACATTTTGGGGAAGCTTCGAAGAAGCGATCGAGGATCTCAATTAGCGCAAGGCTTGGGCGCGGTGGATCCTGGCAAAATCATTCTTGCCTCAAGTTTGCAGCGTTCTTTACACCCGGCTCAGCTAGCAGTGGCCTGGCAGCCCGAAAGCACCGCTTCAGATCGGCTGGCTTGCGTGGTGAGCACATGCTCCATGCCCTGTGTTGTGAGTTTCGCTGAAGCCGTGGGGGGGCTGATGCGGCAAGCCTTTCCACAGCAAATTACGGGCAACAACCGCCAAAATCACGGATAGCCAACGGAGCGCAACAGATATGGACATCAGTTGGCAACATCGTGCCATTCAGTTCCCTTTACCAAACACTGTTTCAAGTTTGTTTGTTGTCCAAACAGTTGGTAGCTCAGTCCTTCGATGCCAATTCTTAACCCTAACTACACCCAGGACCTTAAGCCAGCCCTCAGCCGCAAAGCCCCGCTTGGAACAAAGGTTTTGCAGTGCTCAACGTTGTCACTGCCGAACCTTGGAGCATTTTATTTTGAGTAGCGGTGAGATTGCCAGCTTTGCGGTGCATAGTTCAGAGGGGAGAAATGACAAAGACAGTTTTTTGGGGTCTTATGCTATATCTGCGTAGAGGTTTTTCGGGTGGTAATACTGCTGGTTTGTCCTCGCGCTTGTCAGGGTGTATCAATGGCAGACCAAGGGTTCCTCTCGAAGATTTGGGTGAGTTCATAAAAACATATCTTGGAGTCTACATGTGGATTGCATGTCAAAGCGCACATCCAAGCGGGCATGGGGAGACTTGCATCTGCTTTTTCAGTGGGGGGTTCAGGATCCCCCAGTTGGCATGGCAGAAGTTCATTGAGCCTTGTCTTCAAACCACCAAACCACGTCTTTTCTTCTAAAGCGTGCTGGGCCTGGGAGTCGAAAACGCCGCAAATCTTGGGACGGCCACGAACGTAATGAACTCTAGCTTCGAAGCCAGAAGCTGCTTGAACGATACATCACACCCGAAGTTCTTGCAAGTTTTTCAATGCCTGTACCCTGGATCTGCATACCATTCCAAACCTCCGACTGAGTGGGTTCTAATACGTGTTAGTAGGGCTTCAATAGGGAGTAAGAGTTCATTCCTCCTGAAGATCCCTATGTAGACGCATCCTGCTTTCAAAGGGAATAAGATATTACTGGATTTTGTTTTTGAAGCTAATCTTATTCAACTCTAGAAGCCCTAGCGCAGAGCCTCAGGTCTTTGTGCAGTCCACGATGAAAGTGGCCCAGGCAGATGAGGAGTTCGTCGCAGCGGAGAAACAAAGAGCCCAGGAACCCTTGCTTCATTCTGATGCCTTCCAGAGAACAATGTTTGAAGAGAGATGCCTTCTGCCCAAGCGATCACTTCCAAAACATTACGGACCCTAAAACTACATCTAATATGCAGAGATTCGGAGATCCTGCCGCACTAATGATGGGCCAAACAAAGATTCGATGCGCGGCCAAACCAACACGTTATAGAATCATTCAGGCGTTTCTGACCACTAGCATCACTCCAAAGACTCCGCAAGCCTCGATACCAGTTTCAAGAACAAGCTTGTCAAACCTTGCTTATACCAGCTTTTCAAAATCCTGTTTCCAAGCTAAGGAAGCCTACCGTCACAAGCTCACCAACTTTTTCAAGCAGGCCATCTGAGGGTTTCAGGTCCAGAGGGATTGGTTTGAGTAGGTTTTCTATTATGCAATTTCCACGGAGTCCATAGAGGTAGCTTGGCATTGCATTCAGGTACTTGGACAACAAAGACAGACCTCTCCAGCTGCTTGTAACGTTCCATAGAAAACACACAAGGCAGACCTTCACAAAAACATATGGTCCAGAGTAAGCCAGCAGAAAAAGAGGTCAACCCAAACACCCTGGAACCCTGAATCATCTGCTACATACCAGAATGTGCGTCCCAGTAGAGGTGGATTCCTCCGGCGACGGTAAGCTGGACTTCAAGGAGTTTACAGATCTTTTGGAGAACCTGATCTTGGAAAATCTTATAGCCCAGGGTTTAGGCACCCCAAAGCCTGAACCTTCAAAAACACTACTTCTTAGTGCCGTTCAGCCTAGGAACCCAAAGCTGCAAGTCTGGCTGGCGCAACTGGACATAGAGACGACAGATCTAAAGGGCTTGTTCCAGCTCCTGGGACTTGCTTGGACAGCAGAGTCTTGCGTGTATTTGGGCTATGTGAGGGTTTTTCAGGGACATGCAGAGGTTGTACAGGGGGATTTAGGTTGTATATGTATATATATATATATATATCTGAAGAAGTTTAGGCTTCCATCGACTTTGAGGCTCCAGTTTAAGAGCTTCAGATTTCAGGTTCTGCTGCGGCGCATGGATACAAGGGCCTTAAATGGAGTTTCTACATTAAGAGGCTCGAAGCAGGTATCATCCGTTGTAATAGAATGCTAGTATGTATCTTCTTTGTGCCTCCACTGTATGGGTCTTCTTGCAGTGAGCCTGAACAGTGAAAGCCCTGCAAGCCCTGCGAATCAGGTATATAAAGCGGTGTTTTGGGAATATGGTAGGGGCATACTTGGGGTAGAGTGGGGGCATAGACTTGGGCTCCCATGTTGGAGGATGTTGGATGATGGGGACGGCGAGATCTCGCTCGAAGAGTTCGAGACAGGCCTCATGCGCATGAAAGGCTCCGATTTGCAGGGGTAGTACTTCTTGTTGCTTATTGGGGGAGGGGGGCGGTGAAGATAGCCATATAGGGAATTCTGTTGTGATTGTCCAGGGATTGACTCCCATAGTCCCTACTGAGCACCACTCCTCACTTGTCCCCGCAGGTTATGCCCGAAGCTTCGATCTCAACAAGATCGACCGCCACATGCGGAAGCTACACCTCAAGGCCGCTTTGGCTTCCAATCCCTCTTTTGAGTCAGAGCCTTCATAGGTCCCTTTCAAGCGATTCTTAGGAATCAGGTCTGATATGGGGATGCCAGGAGGAATTTTCAAACCAACTGCACCAATGAGGTTGACACGCTGCTAGCAGATGCGGGGCATGGTGTTCACAGCATCAGCGTCTCAAAGCGTTTTGGGCTTGGCTCTAATTCGTTATCTCCACAGATTTTTGGTTCAGAGGGCAGCCTTAAGGGCAAACGTGTGCTCTGAATGATGCAGTCAAGTTTCACCTACCACAACGGCTGAGACTCAGCCCCAGTTTCAAATGTTTTAAGCAAGCATGCAGACCTTGATGTCCTTCCCTTTTACATCTGTAAATGGCTGCATGCTATGTTGGGCCCCCTGTGCGTAGGGCCTGACTTCCACTGCGCCTGAATGTTGTGCCTAAGCGGTCCGCTTGCGCTTGCCACTCGCTCCATGCAGTCTCAGTCTGTCGCTCAAGCCCAGGTTTCAGATGTCATGCGCAAGCTTGCTTGGCTCCTGCAGGTTTTGCATCATCTATAGGAAGCGCAAGCGGACAGCCATGAAACCACCTGCCGGCACAGTGGTGCTACACAGTCAGTTCTGGAGATATCCTTTAAGTAGTTGAGAAGAATTTCAGTACTTAAGCAGAATCCGGACCTGAACTCCACATCCATGATCTGGCTGTGCAGACGCCTTGGCTATCCCAAAGCTCCCGCAGTCCAAATAGTTGCTGCTGGCTTGCTGTGTTGATGAGTTTGCTTTCGCGCAACAGCTCGACTGTACGGGTTTCTTATTTCTGCAAGGCATTCAGGAAATCATGCTAATGGAAGCCTCGCGTTTTTTTTGAACCTTGTCATCCTTTTGTGTTCCTTCATGTGATTCCAGGTCTTGGCGTTTTTGGTTTTCACTAGTGTAAATGTCATGATTGATACCCCTGTGATTGCTGTTACAACTTAATGTCAACCTTGTGTCCTTCCTGGTTGGAATCAAGCTCCTGTTTTGTTCTTGCTGGGCGGCAGATAACATCTTCTATCAATTTTTTTTACAACGGCCGCGTTGGGGGACGTGGTGACCTTGGTTAAGGAAGACGGGTAGCAGTTTCTGCAACGCACAGAGCACGAACTGTATTGCTAGAAGTGGCGGTAGTCCGAGGCATAAGGCGTGTGCAGTGAGATTCTTCAGTGCTACCCTGAAGGATTCGGCATGGACCATGGACCTTGTTTGTTGCCTGTGCTCATAGCAGTTGGCAAGATGCATACCTAGCAGTGACCACAAGCAACATGAAACTTCTTGGAAGGTTAACTGCTGTGTACACAAACAGCACGCCTGTGGAGAGCAGCATGGATGACCAGGATGCAGAGAATGCTGCCGATTTTGAAATGAAGGAAATTGACAAACAAGGCCACAACCAGAAGCTTCAATGTACTGGTTCTGAGGAGTTGACGAGTCACGAGGTGCTACAAGATTTTTGCAAGAGGTGTTTGGGAGGGGTTCTGGTTTGGAGTTTCCAGACATGGCGCCCCTTGCCCAAAGACATTTGGAGTAAGCTGGTTGTCCGACATGATCTCCGTGAGCAGCCAAAGCTAAGAGGGCTGTGGTGTCTGTGTTACGACAAGATTTCTCAACCAGACTTGTAATAATAGATGTTATCCTTGAAGCCCCTTCTAATCCCAGCTCTTGTTTGGGGTATTTTTGCGTTATGACGTCAGAAGATTCTTGAAAGCTGGGCGCGCACAATGTTTATGGGGTAGACATGTTGGAGGTTTGGCTGTAGTTTGAAGCGTGAGGCCTGGGTAGCATGTAAGCGTACATTGTCGTTCCACCCAAGACCACGGCAGATCTTCAAGGTCATGTGTCAAATTTTCCAGGTTTCCAAGAGCCCGACACGTCTCATCCTTAACAGGACTCAGTTACTTAGTTTGTTTGCTTCAATACCGAGAGCAACATCTAATCACGAGAGACCAGTAAACGAGCGACCTGGCTACCATGCACTGACGTTAAATGAGGCTGCACGTTGTATTCATGCGGTTCTAGTATCATGGTCTACTTGACAGTGTTTACATACGCTGTGATGTCTTTTCAATCTTCTTACATTCTTGGCGCATTAGGTGATCCTGTGTATGCATTCGAGTCGATTCGGAATACTCGACAGGGATGAGAACTAGTCCTTCTCATGCTTTTAGATGCTTTTAGTATGGTAGCATGGCGAAAAGTGTTTTTGGTGTCAACCTCTGCGAACGCGATCATGTCATCTCAATGCCTCGAGCTGCAAAGCTCCCGTGTCCAGGACTGCTGGTTTCAGATGGTTCTTTTGCTGCTGCGCGGTGAGGCTGCTTCAACCTTTTGGCCGGTGAGTCCGAGACTTCCCTCGCAAACTCAGTTTCACCTGTGCGACGCCACTAGCCTCAGCTGCTGTGGAGTTGGTGCAGATCGGAAAACCTGAGCCTTCATGACTTCATGCACATTTGTGCCTAAAATGCCCTTGGAGCTGTCACTTGAATCCGCCATATGCCTCAGCCCGCGAGCTGAAACGGGGGTCCCTCAGCCTGGGGAGACAATTAGCTTTGTGTATTTCTTGAGCTCAAGGCCGCAGGAGACTGCAATGCAATCTTTGACTGGAAGTTGTCAAACATCAATTTAGGACCGCTCCCTTCTAGTGGTCTGTGTCCCGAGTCGTTACTTCATTTCAGCATGGCATGAGTTGGAGCGGTCTGATGTTTGGGGAGGGGATGACTGACGCAGGACCTGGAAATAAACTCAGATCAAAAGCCTTACCTCTAAAGTAAGCAGCGCACGCTGCATGCAAGATCGCGTTCTACGCTCGCCATGGCAAAGTCCGCGCAGTCGTCGGGGTGCTTGGATGTGGGCGATTTGTGGGCGCCAGGCAACATGAAGCAGCGAGCGGGACCACCCAATTTTTCAAATACAGCTTTCTATCTGCCGCATTCTACTGCCAGTCATAAACGGTTCTCCCTCAAACGGTTCTCCCTCTCAGAGTCTAGGGCCCTAGGACGTGGGCCACAGGGGCCAGTCTTGTCGAAAAGGTTATGCGGCAGCTGACAAAGGCCCTTCTTATCGTCAATGTTAGGTGATAGGCATGGTTGGGAGCTTGGTGCCCAAGCCAAGCACTCTGAATTCCGAGCTTGAGGGAAAATTCCAAAGTCAGGTGAGAAGCATGCCCGAAGGAAAGGGAAACCTGAAAGGCACGCATCTTTTGGCAAACTTAGGTCTTCAAAAACCCTAGACGTTAAACACTAGACGAGAGAAACCCGGACTGTCTGGATACGAACCAGTAGTACTGTAACCCTCTGATTTGTCTGTTTCGTAGAGCTCGCTTAATCAAGGGTAGCAGCGGTGCTGGCTTGGTAGTCATAGCGGCAGTGGCCGAAGGGGGGATGTGGGTGGCGCTGGCGGCGGTGGCTGTAGCGGCGGTAGTGGGGGCGGGTTGGCTGTGGCGTTGGTTGTTCTTCTTGTTGCTGGTGGTGTTGTTGTTGTTGTTGTTGGTGGTGGTGGTGGTGGTGGTGGTGGCTATGCTTGCAGCAGAAGCCTTCAGAGTTTCCTGATTGTCGAGAGTCGAGACTAAATCCGACTTGCCGTTCTGTTCATGGAAGGCTTGGAGATTGAATCTGAGCACGGCGTGGCCTCGGAGCATGGAGTGGACAAGTCGGAGTGGTTTCTGGCTTGTGCTCAGCCTGTGCTCAGCTTGTGCTCAAATTTTGTGTTCAAATTCCGGGTATCTCAGGACTTGTCCTTGGAGGTTTACAGCTTGCGGTTTCGCTACGGGCTGGGGGCTAAGGGTTTAGGGCGCAGGATTCGACACAAGCACTGTACCAACAATCGATCGGTCACGTGGATGGGAAGATGGAGGGGTATACTTTGCTCGAAACTAAGTCTGTCAAGGGCTAGTACACGTGGACTGTTGCCAGTCCTCAGCCCGCACCCTCCTTCCTTGAGAACCTGCAAGGTTTCGCTTGTTCGTTCCGGGCTATGCGCACATGCTCCTCATGCGTGAAGATCCAGAGGTAACGACCACTGAGGTCACCGATCTTTTCTTCGATGAGGACCTCAAACTCAAAGCACACCTTGACCTGAGCCTGAAGGCTTTGCCGCACTTGCTCACCTTGAGTTCAAAGATCTGGACGCACCCCCAATCTCCCTTGAGCCCTTATACCGAGTTAGGCCCTAGCCCAAAGTTTGGTTGATGAGGACTGTGAGAGCGAGACAGTTCACTGGCAGAAGCGTGCGCTGCGCCTGACACTGGTCAGTAGTCTTGGTGTCAGCTGCAGTTTCTGAGGTTTTGTAAGGTTTGTTTTTGACACTGAAGGTTTTGGTGCAGTGCAGACTTTGTTTCGAGGTCGAGGGCTACAAAGTTTGGGTTAAGGGCCCCCGAAGTTGAATCCACCAAAACTAAGTTAAACGAGGTTTGAAGCGAAATGAAGAAACCATGCAGACTGTTTCAATAGTTCATGATTGTTGGCACCAGGCCATGGTTCAGGAAAGCCATCTGCCTAAACGCATAATGAAGCTGAGAAAAACTGGTCACGCCGCACGACACAGGTTTCAGCTTCAAGGTTCAATGTGTTCTTTTTCTGTAGAACCCAGGTTTAAGGTTCTTGGTGGAAGGTTTGATCTGGGTTCGGGCTTGGGGTTAAAAGGCGGCCCTTGCTTGAAGCAACCACAACAAGGCTATAAGAACATCAAGCTGTCAGGAATTTCAGGATTCCGAAGCAGTCTGCTTTTTTCCGATGACGTTGGACTCCGGAAGACACTTACACACTTTTCAAACTTATTCATCTGAGCCATCCACACGGTCTGCGGATACCCAGGCTGTTGACATCTTGGGATCCTTGTGTCAAAGCTTCCGCTACATGCTTCAGCATTCCTGATTGCCCTGATCTCTCAAACCTAATTCCTGCCTGCAACTTGTCCAATCCTTTTCGTTCGCGCGAGTTTGCTTGGTTGGTGGCAGTGATGGTTTTGATTCGTGCCACACATGTTGTTTGCACCATGTCCGTCACTAGGATCAGGATGACAACTAGTAAGTTGTGATCATACTTGTCTTTAGGAGCGTTGTTGCTTACCGGGGGGTAGTAGGGAACAAGGAATATACTACACAGGGATAGGGATTATATTTATGCCCCCTTATTCCATTCCCTGCTCGCCAGCAGTAAGGTTGTGTTCCCAAGTTGCTGTCATGATGTTTTTCTTGGAGCCAGGACACCCGCCTTCGGCCCCCTTGCTGGCCTAGAGCAGCTCTTCGAGAATCAACAACATCCGGAACAGCCCCTTGGGTCAGCTTTGGGGATCATGCAGGGAGCTTGAGGCTACTAGTCTTTCTGAATTTGGGCGTAAGGTTCGGGGGTTAGAGAGTCAAGGAAATATCGTTGGGCAGAAACATTTACGGTCTGCCTGCAGAGTGCGGTGTGGGAGTATGGTCTGGGGTCAAGAACCCAAGGATTTTCAGCGAGGCGCATAAGCAGATGAGCAAATTAAAATCGGGATTTCTTGCAGTGTGCAGCCTCCAGGTTGAGGTGTTCGATGTGGACTGGCAATTGCTACTTCGACCTTAGCTTGGCTTTTGGGTTTCAGATGCGCAGATACCAATCAACATGCCTCCACGTTCTCAGCCTTGGAACCCCAGTAAGAGGGGAGACTTCACAGGCATAGACCTTCAGCTACAGGTCATGCTGTATGCAACCCAGCAAGAATCGAAGCTCACCTGTCCAAACCCTGAACCTGCATCCTGTTCGTTTCCGAACGCCGTGAAACCCTTCATTCCATTTCCCAAGTTTCGTGTCAGTATTCACTGTAGAAGTATCATTGCCTTTACGTTACCCTGGGCGCTTGACAACCTGCCCTGACGCTTGAATCACAAGCGATCAACGGCAAATCCCCCAAGCCCGATTTGAAGGGGGCAGGGCCAGATTCTTACCTCTCAAACTTTGGAGCCCTAAACGCTCCAAAAACATCAACCTGAAAGGCTCATGTGGGCAGGGCATCCACATACCTTTCCCTGCGAGCGCTGCGGGCCTGGCCTCCAGGGCCGAGCCTCGAAGCGTTGATTACAGGCTCAGGGTTGGAGGAATTTGCTGAGAGGACTACGGGTTTAGAATTTAGATCAGGCCCAGAGCTTGAAGCTCTGAACCAGCTGCCGCTTAAGGAGAGCGTCTGGTGGAGTGCTGCCTGCGACTGGCCTTGCAGGCGCTGAGGGCTTCAGGGTCAAGAGTGGTTTACCTTTCAGGGGTTCTGGTTTGGGGTGTAGGGGTTGCCGGGGCTTTCAGCAGCAGATTGCAGGAGTTGTGCTCTCATGGCGCACAACATCTAGGAACCAACTCCCCGAACCCAAATATTGAAACGCCGTTCGAAATTTTTGATGTTGGACTTTCGGAGCTGTAACTGGAAAGGATTGTTTTACTTTGGGGCCCTAGGATGTTTTGAGTGTCCTTGCGGGTCAGTCTTGTTCCTGCAGCCCATCAACCACTTCAGTTGGCGTATGTTGGCGTGTCCTATCTTATACACAACTTCTATTGTGTCGGGAAATTCATGACTCTTATCTGCAGTGCCATCTCTGCCTTGTTGAATCCGCTCCTCCATAGCTTGCTTGGCCTGTCCATAACAGCTGAGCAGAAGTGAAGAAAATAGTTGAGTATCTACAAAGCACGGATAAACATGACAACAAAGTCACTGATGTAATGCAAGGGCGCATGCCTTCTTCAACCACAGCCACAGCAGCCAAATTGAGATGGGTCATGATAGCCTTGATAACCAGCAAATCTCCAAAACCAAGCCCGAAGTTTTCAGGGTTAAGGGATGAGGGTTTTCAGGTCAAGGCTCGATATGAAGGTAGCCTGTCCTTGGGCCTTGGCTGTTGGGTTTTCTCCAGTTTCCTTATGTGTCACAGAGATCATGTAGGCAAGCTGTCAGTGGCAGTGCCACCCGATGTGGTTTTCGCTAGTGGTCCCAAACTCCGAATCCAAAACTTAATACAGAATACATCCTTACTCCGCCTTATCTAGCAGCTTCCTGTCAAACACGCACGGAAGCTGCATAAAGGCTACTACGTCAGTGCTGACCGCCGAGAGTGTCTCCAGGATTGGCCGAGATTTTGCCGAAGGTTTTTGGTCTCCGTTCTGGACTTGCGAGGGTCAGGATCTAGGGTTGGGTAGGCTTGCAGTGCGGGTTATTCGTTTGACGCAGGGTTCAGAGGCGATGATACAATTTTTATGATGAAACCGTTTTAAGTTTTTGCGGACTGCCGTCTTCGAATGTAGTCGTTTGGGAGGCGGTCGGCCTTATTGTGACTTTCACTTCAACTAATCACAGTAACTACGCTGAGACAGTTGAACATCGCTTTTGCGCCTGATGCAGAATTGCAATTGCGTACAGTCATACGTTGAAAACAACATGCACTCAGATACCGGGAGTCACACATGTTGATCCTAAACCCCTAAACCTGCAACCATGCTTTGATTCGACGGAGTTCATCGCAGTAGCGGAGCTGGCGTGCATGATCCTCTCTCACAAGTACACCTGCCCGCATCAGAGCACCTCATTGTGAGTCAAAAGCTTCAGGCTATTGAAACCCTTCATGCAGCAGGCTTAGCAAGCCAGAGACTGGTCTCGCTTTCAGCTTGAATTCATTTCCTAGAGCTTTCGAACCTCCACAACCAGCTTGGTACTCGAAGCTCTACATCCCAAAATATTCTGCAGCCATAGCGCCTGTCCAAAATCTGCAAAGCCTGGAGGTCCCTTTTGATGCCTGATGCTGCGGCCATCATGCGAGGCCACAAAGCAAATTTGCAGCTTAAGATGTCCTGTTTCTGATTCGGGCTCAGCATTTGTTGGGGTGTAAGGATGATGACCGCGGCCGGGGGTTTCGAGGTCAACGTCCATTGCACGCAAACTGAAAATTTTGGGAGGATCCACACAAAGATTCCCTCCAGCTGTAAGCCTTCCTGCGCAGGCCTTGGCTGGGACTCCGCCTTTGCCTGTGCTGCCGAGCGAGTGGCAGCCTTCTTGGCCGGGAAGCTCCAGGCAATGGGACGGGGTGAGGAGTGGCGAGTGTGGGATGGGTTGGGGTGAGTACCAGCTTCAGATAGGTACAGAAACTGTTCATTTCAAGGCCTCGTCGGAGAAGCAAGATGTCCCCAGCACCTCCAGAGAAATTTTGTCGCATGTTATTCTTGGTGTTTGTAAGGGTGTGAGTTCCAGGGGTATTGACTGAGGGCTTTTGCAGTGCAAGGTTGCAGGTCTTAGAGGCAGGATTTCAGGATCCAAGATTCGGACAGGACTACATGGATGCAGTCCGCATATTGTTTGGCCCAGAAATCTATACATCCCAACACCCTCAGCCCTGTAAAACCCAAGATCTGCCGGCCCCCCAGAAAGTCAGGATGATGGTAGTAGCGCCTGTAGCGAAAGGTTGTGATTATGTGAATGGATGGTCAGCTTGCGCCTGCATTAAGGACTGGAACAGTGATAGTTGAATAGTACGACTGCCGCCATATCAGCCGCCAAGCGCAGGTAAATGTGCGAAGCTTCGAGGGGCCGCAGATGCAGTTTCGGCTGCCAGTCCCTTACCTGCTATTTCAGCAAGGCCAAGACGTACCATGGCGTTAGAGAGGTTCAGGATCTATGGCATTTTCTACTATGCAGGGAGACAGTTCTACAAAAATTATGTCAACGTTGCAAAATTTGGCTTTAAAGACTGCAGGGTACCATGTCTCCGCTTTTCTCTGCTTCGCGAAAAAGCCACAATCCCAAACAAAAGGCAGGCTCAGTCCACTCATCTTGGCAACTGCAAGTGATCATGGATTCCCTTTCGCCTGTCCTCGCATGGTATAGCGTTTTCTTCGTCAATGCGCGCAGCAGCGCCGCAGTTGCGTAGCGTGATCATTTGTGGGGAGGAAGAGAGCGGCAGAGAGGCCTGTTAGCTGACGGTGTGATTTGTGTTGTTCGGCCCTTTCTGTTGAGGGTGCTGGGCGAGAATAACGGTAGGTGGAGGAAGTTCGTTGCATCGTATCCTTCACATGGTTTCTGGTCTTGAACGCAGCTCAAAAACGCACAGAGGTCAATACTTCACCCACCTTCGATGCTGAACCCAGCATCAACGATAAGCAGAACAACTTACAGGACAAAGCCTCAACTGCAAGATGCCAAGAGCAAGTCTTCAGGAACGTGCAAATACTGCGGAGCTCTACTACGCGACGGCTGTGGCCCTCCGCGACTGCGCCATGGTAGCCAAGGGCTGGAGAGTTTGGGGTTTAGCGCGATTTGTGTTGTGTATTCTCGGGTGAGGAGGAGAATTGAGTATGCTTTTGCTTGAAGGACTTTCCAAACGGATTCGGGGCTGTTTCTTTTCCACTTTCTTTGTAAAATCCTGTTGTACTGGTAAGCCTCTTCAAGCTCTTTAAGTCAGTGCAGAGTATAGGAGTGTCCTTCGATCCTACACGCGAAGCCTAAAGCATGATTGTCCGACAGGTGGCAACCCGCAGACGGATTTCGTCCTTTGTACCGCAGATGGGTCAGCTGTCCTGGAAGCATCTCAGCATTCTGCTGTGGAGCAGCCCGCCTTGAGGAATGCACCAGAAGGCCAGGGCTCATTCATGTTGAAGCCGCAGGCTGGAAGTTGTAATGTCCCTTCGTGTAATGGATAAGGTGCTTTAGTGGTTAGCCTTGACAAGCCTCCAGCAACATGTAGTGTGATCTTTAAAAGCAAGCTTGCACATTTTCCAATAGATTCAACCACTCTATCACGCGTAGGTTTACCACCATGCATTTCGTCTTCCTGCAAAGGCCAGCATCTGGCGTAAACCTGCAATCCCTGTATGTGTACATATATGTATATATATATATTATTGTACATATACACAACCTATGGATCCCTGGTTTCCATATCAGTTTTTTCATTTGATTGTTTGTCATGAGGGTGAGTCTGGAAGGAATGGACCCGGGAGTTGACCCGTTTGACCCGTTCCAGCCGTTCGACGGGCCCGGTGCAGTGACTCCTGGAGGTGCCAAACAAAGGGTTTAGCTGGAAGTTTTCAACAATGGTTGCGGGACCCCTGAGTGTTCGGACATCAGGGAGTTGACGCGTGCAGTGCGTGTTTCTTCGCCAGCAGAAATCGCGCTTCTCTATTCGCAGTTTCCTGCCGTGCTTTTTCCCAATGTTGCTAGCTTGTCAACATTTTGTGTGCATGTGCAAATGGTGCCAAGATTTCCAGAGCATCTCGAACATATGACGAGGGAAACTCTTCTTCACTACTAGCGTGACTGTGTACTACGCTAACCCAATGTTACAACTACTACCCTGCCATTTTTCTGAGTTGCTAAGCTGCGATGACGACTACTATGAAGCAGTGCCAGTGCGAGTAGCATCTGCAGCAAAACTTAGAAGTAGTTGATTGAGCAGTTGATACGTTGACAGAAGCTTATTAGGTGACGAGGAGTCCTTCCGTGTTGCGGTGCACGATCTCTCCGGCAGCCTGGTTTCCTGATGTCTGGCCATCACAGTCTTCAAGATTAAAGGTTCCAGGTGTAAGGGGGCTTGGGTTCATGTATGCGTTTTGGTCCTGCTTTCAGCCTGGTGACGGAATGATGATCTTGAAGCAGCAGAAGATAAGAGGAGAGATGCTACCTCACAACAGTCTCCAAAGACAGATTGCAGATTTTGTGCCACCCGCATGCAAGCATCCAAACGCCTAACACCCGGATCAGAAACGCTACTCTCTGATATAGACACAATTGACCCTACACCTTGGTCCTCAACGCCGAAATGATAGGCTCCAGTGCAAGCCTTTCAACTCAAATTGTTTCGCATGCAGGAAATCCCTACAAACTCTGTGCAATCCTGACCCTAAACCCCGCACTCATAAGCTCATAAGCTGCCCTACCATATCTCAGGTGCCCTGGTGGCGGACCTCTCCCTTGCTGGAAGCGCGCAGCCCGGAGATTGCAAGGAGGGAGCTCTAAGAAGCAACTGAAGCAACTGCAGAGGTCGTGCTTCAGGGTGGTAGTCATAGCAATCACGGTGCTATTTCAATCTGCATTCCGGGTGGGCACTGATGTTGAGAGCTTGCGAGGAGATGATTCGAAAGCTGGCTCTGCGCCACGAGCCGGACGACTGCAACTGGGTTGTCAGCACGTAGCGGCGCAGGATGTGGGGCTTCAAGGGGTTTCCTCCCCAACCGTAGAAACTCACGTGGAGCTTCGTGGGTATGGTTTTCATGAGAATTGTACACAACGCCATTGCAGTTATTGTTTGTTGTCCCGGTCTCCCACTTACATTTCAACCCACGTATGACATCTGATGAATCCCCAAGTACCCTAATTTTCTCATCTCTGATTTCTTGAGGCATGCAGCTGATCCTGGAGAGTGGGGAGCCTTGGGTGGGCCAACTGTCGCTGAAGTCCCTCTTGAAGGACGGGGTCTTCTGTGGAGCTCAGTCCACGACCCGGCAGAGGTCGAAACAACAGTAGCGCTGTGCAATGTGAAGCTGGTCCACAGCAAGGACTACGTGCGGGCGAAACTCAAGGTTCATGCCGATGCGGAGCCGCTTGCTGCCATCATCGAGCATGTTGTGCTGAAGGCCGGTGGAGCGCAGAAGCAACCCATTCGGGTTCAAGGTTGGGGGGTTGGGGTTTGGGGTCGGGGGGTTCAGGGTTTGGAGGGCTTGTGACACAGTATTCGGGGGTTTCGGAAGCAGAATGATCAATCAAATTCTTTGGCTGCGCAGCGGTCACATGTAACAAAGGTGGACACTTTTTCAAGCCAGGCACTTTGCTCATTGAATTCGATTTTTGAATGATTTCTATCATGTTTTCCCCGGGAAAGTATGCAAGGAGGATTGGGAATTCTTTCTCTCAATTCTTGGCTGTGGGATCGTATGGCTTAGAGTCTAGAGAGTATGTTGGCACCTCGCTTCAGTCCAGGAATCAAGGGATTGTTGGGAACCCAGGACTTGGGTTCTGGTTTTCAGGAGGTGCCTGGCTTCTGGGGTCTTTGCTCGGCGACTCGTATTTGGAGAGAGTGTAGGTGTACGTTATAGCCCCCAAAGGCCAGATCAGACTTGGTGAATCCAAGCTTCCTGACTCCAATTCCGAGAACCTTCAAGCCGAAGCCCCAAACCACACGTTCGCCAAGCCTTTGCTTTACACTCTTAGCAGTATTCTCGCAATCATTATGTGGCTCTTACCCTTGTACGGCCGCTGTGGGTTTGTTTTGACAACAGGACCAAGCGGCAGCCCGTCTCACCCTGGTTTGGTCATCTGCGTGTCAGTTCGTGGCTGTGCCGATGGCCAGCGATGCTGGTCCTGTTGGTTTCCGGCTTGCGGATCTTGTATTGGGCGCTGGTTTTCGCAGAGTCCATTTGGAAGGATGAAATAGTTTTTCAATTTCGGTGCTGAAGGGTTCAGTGTTCAGGGTCTAGGGCATGGTTGGTATGGTGGCTGATTTACAGGTACTCGTTGGGGCAGTTATTCAGCATGCTGAGGATTTCCGCTTCTTTGCAGGATGGGTCTCTTCCTCCGACATTTGCTCGATTGTGTTCAGTTTGGGTGGCAAGTGCGCCCCGAAGCACACGACAGCCACACCCAGGCATGTTGAACACTCTTAATCTTCGCAACCTCAGCCGGAAGCCTAGTGACTCGAAACCTGGCAGTCCCCAGCTTGAGCGCTGCGACTGGAAGAGCAAGAGCATGGCGTGGTGGACGACAACGCCAATGGCGTGACCGCCAAAGCAACACTGTAATGTGTGCAGCCAAGCTGAGACCCTAGACGGTGGACCTTTGAACTCAAACCCTCACATAAGAAGCACAACTATGTTAATATGACACTTGCGTTTTTTTGTCATTACCATTGCAGCCAGAACGTTGTGTAAGTTTCTGACATCCTTGTAAAGCTCCCATCGCAGGCTCCGCAGTCTGAGCCGTAAACCAGTAGCGTGACTGCAAGTAGTGCCTGCAAAATTCCGCAAGGACGCCAGGATCCTCGCCGGCCATGGCATCTTTCGCCCATCTGACCTGCCACCCCGACTGCCAGGCTGGGTGGGACCAGAAGTAGACCTGTCTTTGCAGGGTGGCTTCGGATAAGAGTTGTTGGGCTTCAGGAGGCTCCTGCTGGAATCAAGTGCAGTCTGACAGGTAATGGTCGAGAAATTTGCGGAAGGAATTACGAGGGATGAGGCCACCAGAACTTCTAGGTGCGTAGACAAAGCCCAATCTCGTTGGAACTAGACTCCTCCAAACGAGCATGGAGCTTGAAAAGGGCCTTCAGATCTGTCCAGATCCTTATATCTGCTTCTGCACGACTTCTTGATAAGAGATTCGGAGCTAGAACCGTCATGAGCGTGTTCAAGCCAAAGCTCTCGTGTGATCCTTCCTTCATTCCCATGTACTGTGTCCGAAGACACTCTTCCTGAGTGTGCTGAGAAGATGGCTGCCGTTGAAAGAGATTGTGAGATGGAGCAGATCATGGGGTGAAAGACCGTATTTATAAAGATGTCAAAAGGCCCTAAACAGCTTCAAGCCCAGTCCCCAGGGGTCAGCCGTGTTGGCTTCCCCGTTGTTCGACGCGGCGACCGATCGGAGGTGCTTTGTTGCTTGTCTTGCCTGCCTGGCTTGGTGTTTAGGTTTTGAGACTCTCGGGTGTGTGTGGCATTGGGGAAACTTGTTGCGTGACTGATCAGGCGCTGTGGTGAAGGGTTGATTGGGTTTCATGTACATGTTATGATGGTTTCCGTGCTTTGGGGCTTGAGATTCACACCCCTTGATAGGGCCTTGACGGTGCGTAAATTCTTATGGTGGTCGGGGTGATCCAGACGCCCAGGCGCGGCCCGGCCTGCCTGTTGTCACTTCTGGGCCTTTCAGAAGGGTTGTGTCGCATTTGATGGCCGGGCTTTGGACCCAGGACGGGGCTTCTGAAATTTCAAGCTTTTTATGGGTTTCTGCACTGGGGGAGAAGCTGAAACCTTGAACTTTGAACCCTCAGCTTCCAGTCTCATTTTGAAAGACTGACTAGTACGTGCAAAGCACCTCGCACCCTGTGTGTGATCTCCAAGCATCGAAGCTTAAAAGCTTCGCTGAGATAACCTACATGTTGATCGGGAACCAGATGGACTGTGTAATTACTTGAAGAGTATGAGTGTACACGAGTGGATGATACTTTAGGGCAAACTGCGTAGTCTGCCTAGGCCACCCTGGTTAGTGGAAGGAAATGAAGATGGAACAAGCAATGCCAAGTGAGCTGAGAAGCTTCAGGTTTCGGGAACTTTGGATTTATAGTTTGGCCTTTGGGCTTGTTGCTCTGAAGGATCCTTTGCTTAGAACTCCGGAGCCCAAAGCCCTAAACCCGCTCAGGCCCCCAACCCCCAAACCTTGCTGTGTCAGAGGCAGCCTGCCCAGGGGCCAGGCGGCTGCATTTTCGAGAGGATGAAGGAGGAGGGCCAGCAAAAGTGAGGCTGTGGAGTCGGGCAGAAGCTTTTCTTTTGGAAGAAATGGGTTCATGTTCGAATTGCAAGCTGCGTGCTCTCAAGACCTAAGCCCCATACAGAACTTCGAATGTCCACGTACTTATGTAGGGCTCCAGGCCCGGAAGGCTTGCTAGTTCTGGTGAAGCCAGCCCTTAGAAGCAGGAGTGTATGTCAGCCAAGTGACTGTGATAGGGCCTGAGCTTTTGGTGGTCTTCCTTCTTGCAAGCCTGAAGCTGAAGGCCTGTCACAGAGCTCTTGCAAGAGTTGGACCATGATGATGCCGTTCTGCAGGGCCCTGGCCCGCTTCACATCTTCGAGGTGGAAGTCAAGAGTTTAAGGCGTTGCTTTAGGGTGCAGCATCAGCAGCCAAGAGCCAGCATAGACAACCAGAGTAGCATTAAGGCCAGTCGCTCTTCAGTGATAGGAACAAAGATGAAAAATGGTGGCAGCTGACAGATGATTTGTCGAATGGCCATGGGAACACTGTAGCAAGAATTCTGTTGCAAGCAGTCTGTAAGCCGCGAGGATCGAAAACCCTGTGTGTACAATGCTGTATCGTGGGTATGTAGCGCTCCAGCACAAATGGAGACGAGAAGTCTGCGAGCAGTAGGACTTGTGTAGCTTTTCAAACGCTTGCTAAGCCGCCAAAATGCTAAATCTGACCCCATTCAGTCCCTAAACATCTATATGGTAGCTTCCCAAAATATGGGGACCCAAAAATAAACTCCAGAATACTACGATCCTTATTACAGGGATCCGCAATGGTATCCCTAGTTTGCGGAAACCTCCATATACCTTTTAGAGAGCCTGATGCGTTCCTTGGATTCAGGTGGGTCCGGATGCCGTAATGATGATGGCGAACATCACATCGGACATAGACGAGGCCAGGCTCTCTTTTGCCTCAACATGCTTAGGGTTTAGGGTTTATTTAGGAGGTTTATAGGGGGTCTAGGATTTTTGAATCAAGGTTCCGGGTGCTGAAAGGTGGTGTGGCATGAGGGCCTGGCAGCAAAGTGGTTATGCAGCTTGCAGTCAAGGCTAGCTGGTACGCTCAGCTCAGGCTCTGTTCCTTCTTTGTGAGCAGTGTTTACAAGCAACCAGGGGTGTGAGGATGTCAACCCATGACTTCAGGCTTTGAGGTGTTGGTTGAAACTTGATTCCCATTTCTACAGCGGTATGCGTTTCTTATGAGCCGGCTTTAGTTTATTCCCAAGATATGACAAACGATAGGAGGGGTGCGGCGGGTAGCCGATTTGTAAGCTTTCAGCGTTTTTAAGCGCATGTTGGCTTCCGATGTGCCAGATGGGCGGCTCTTTCCACAGCATCGTCGTGCCCGCGGAGGCCCTCTCAGAATGCAGAGTGCAGGATCAGGTCTGTGCAGGCTTGTTTGGGTTTCCTGTCAACTTGATGTTCGCATGCATATTTCGAACCACAGACGAAGATGTAGAATCCATTTTTCATGCGTTCAAGGGAGCTAAACACTACAGGAGATGCTCAGGCTCCCGACGTGGCTATTGGCATGTAGAGCCAAGACCGTACAAGAACTGCCTAGCATGCCTAGGGATTCTCTCATTTCGGGATCATCAAGGTTGGATGCATTCATCCCATCCACAAGCCCTGACATGAGCGCGCAACTAACACCTTGTGACACCCCGAACTCCAAGCAAACCTTTCCTTCAAGCTTCAGACTGGAAGAATTGTTATCACAACCGTGTCATTGCGCTTCCCAATTGAAAGCGAGCTTGCAGAATACTCTATAGCTGGGGACCTTGGACCCCTCAGCCCTGAACCCTAAACAGAACCAGTTACCCTGAACCTCTGAACCAAAGCCTTAACAGCCAAGCCCAAACTCCACAAACGTCCAGAAGCCCAGAAGCCTCAGGCCAGCAGCTCCACAATTCTGTCCTTCCTGGCGCAGTGTTCTGCTGGAACCAGCGGTGCCGCTTACCGCCTTGCTGCCTACTTGGACTTTTGCCAAAATTGGGACCTTGAAGGTTCAAGGACCCAGGATCTCAATTGGGAAAGCGGGTCCAGATGCGTTCCTCCTGCTCGCAAGCAAACCTCTCCAAAGATGCGATGCCAAGTAAACTGGTCTCGTGTAGAAGGGGGGTGGTGGAAGGGCTCAAAGCTTGAGGTTTGCGGTTCAGAGTAGTGCAAGATGTGGATTTTTCATCAGCTGAGGACAAGTTCACCCCCGTTGCTTTCAGCAATCTGCGGAGCTACCTTCGGGACCATCCCGATACGCAAGGTTTCACCCTGAGTCGAAAGAAGCTTCGGCATCTCCAGGGAGCTATGGTGCCGGACTAAGTGGCATAATGTCTTGGAAGCTGGCACTCTTCCCTAGTACAAGTTATAGGTGGGAACGTTGGCGCAATGTTGCCCGAGCCGCCGAAGCAACCATCATAAGTTACAATTCCAGTAGTTGATGAATGAATGGAATCAAGGGGATATGAGGAACATATTTTAAGCTTCCCCCATTTTCTGACTTCATCTGCGCGTTGTCATTTCTCGACCTATCAGAAACGTTTTGTTGTTTTTTCAGGGTCTGTAGAGTTTTGTGGTTCAGGTTCTTGCATTTCGTGGGAGGAACATGCAGATCTGGGGCCTGCACTGGAATTGGCATGCGGCCTGGCCTGCGGGGATTGTTTGGGTGTTCAGAGACTAAATCCATGGCAGCGCTAAACTAGGACATGTGCTCCATCGCTTAGTACAAACAAGACGTGCCCGTCGACACCACCCCGTGACTATGTGAGTTGCAGATCCGAGTTGTTCTGTCCAATTTTTAGTCTCGACTTTTGCTTCCCAGCAGTCCTGGGATGGCACCTGGGGAATATGGAAGACATTCAGGTGGTAACTGGGGTTCTGATATCTACTCAGGTCGCAAGGCAACTACCCAGCTCAAGTTGCTTAATACCTTTAGAAAGCTGCTTCTTCTTCAAAACCACAGGGTTGGTACATGGCAAGAGACTCCGCAAGGTTTTACGAGCATCACTGTGGAGCGGAGTAGACACTATGGAACTTGGAAAGACCCTGTAGGATGCTGGGATCAGGATCACATTCAAAATTCAGTGCCTGCGGATAGTGATCAGAGATTGTCAACCAGAAGGGGCTCCTGGAAGGATTTCCTGCCTACTCTTGGGCGTTGTGATCCGAGATTTTGGGTTTAGGTTTCAGATATGACTTCCACAGAAGAGGTTGTTGTCCGGGGCTCAAGGTTGACCCAGCGCTTAAACCTGAGCCCGAGATGAAATCCCGACACCATGATTCCAGCCCAAAAACCCCAAACCTCTGATCTGAACCGCCCAGCCCAACCCTTACACCCCGAAGCCAACAGCTCCAAAACCACACGCCAAAGCCACAGACTAAGACCACCCAAACCCTGCAAACCTGGACATACCTCATGAGTCTGCTCTGGCAATCATGAAAATAGAGCCATGGCTTCGTCGCAGCCTCAGCTGGCGGCTTTTGTTGTTGGTTTGCAGGCTTTTCAAGTGTAGACTTGCAAGAATTCGGTTTCTGGGTTGAAGGTTTTAGAATTGCAAGGCATACGGTTTGGCCTTCAAGGCGTGTGGTATAGGAATTATGGGTTGGGGGTGCAAGGTCTTCCCAGCAAGCAGTCAACCATCGACAGACACCCTTTGCACGAGATTGCAAACAGTTTCACAGTGTAGCCTCATGCGATCTCTGTTCGGGCACCGTGTGCCTCACGCGATTCCTTTCTTTGGGAGTGTCACTGTTTCAAAGTAAAGACGGCGGCTTGAACTGTGGGGAGCGAGGAGCTTTGCAGATTTGGGTGGCATTTGGAGGACTGCGACCAGAGACATGGTCCTATTGTGAAGAAATTCAGAAAGACGGTCTCTGTCCCCAGTATTCTGTGTTGAAGTACTCTGTGCACCAAAGGCTTGCCTGCAAACTTGTATTTTTGGACTTGTTGTTGTGATCTACTTTTTTTGCGTTGCAGACATATTTGTTTCCTTAGCGCGATTCCTTGATTCAACTTCTCCAACCAGAGTGCCCTGACCTGCTCAGTGCGGGATGCTGGAGGGTTGCAAAAAACTTCTCCAACCACTCCTTCTGGTTCAGCCCTGAATGCCCAGACACTCGTGCCTGTGTCCTTCCATAGTTGATTACACAAAATCAGCACGACCCGATGACTCTGCTCAGGTTCCCATTACCCTTGCAAAAACACCACCACCACAAGTGTTTGGATCTGCGTAAAAAAAAGCTACAAATTCTTTGTAGGCTTACTAACCCTCCCCGAGGGCTGCTCGCAGTGGACGGAGCGCGGGCAAAGTCAGCCGTGGGATCTAGGGACTGACGCGCTACAGTTTAGGGTCAAGGGATTAGGATTTCAACCAAGAAACGTGGATCATTTTTGATGGGGTGCTTGGGTTTTGACTTGATCCTGATGAGAATCGTGAGGTGCAGGGGCTGTGGGGTTTGTGTTATCAATTTTTGAAAGGCTTTCAGTCAAAGCCATTTTTGAAGGTTCTGTGCAACTTGCAGAGCTTTTACAGGAGCGTAATTGTGGAATGTTGCAATGTATGTGGACCTTACACTGGGGTTGTGGAAAAAGGCCCGGTGTGCGGTGTACAGTTAAGGTCTAAAGGGTCTGGGTTGCTTGGAGCTCGGTTCACGCTTCAGGCTTCAGGGCCCTTAGGGTGCGAGTTGTCAGCCCTTATAACCTGGGCTCCGCGACCGTGGGTACATGTCGCTGCAAACCCCCAGACAGAATGACGGGACCCAATCCTAGGCCCAACTGCTACAAGCTTTCACCCTTTTAGTGAACCAGGCACCCCAAGGTAGCCAGGCATAATTCCTGCCCGAGTGCAGGAGGGCGTGATCAAATGTTTGTCTGGAAAACTTGAAGGCCATTGAACCTGCTGCGAGTTACAGGTCAGCAGACTGTCGAGACCCTGCTTGACAAGCAGCCGCAGGAACCCATCTGCAAACCGAGACATTCAGAAGACACAGGATATAGCAATTCCACCTGGGCATCACCTCCAACCCCAGCTCCCTAACCTTGGATTCGAAGCCGAAGCCAGAAAACCTAAAGGCGAAATCGGCTGCAAGGAAAATCGTTTCCAAAACACTTTCTCAGCCATCAAAGCCCCCAATCCCACCTCGGAGAACTTTGCCAGGTTTCCGCAAGGGTGGTATGCCCAGATGGGCAAACCAGAGAGGCCTTCTTCGACTCAAGGCGCAGTTGGTTCTCCTGCCTAGGATGAACACGGGGCAATTATAATGACAATAGTACCTTCCAGATTCCATCCACTGAAAGAGGACACTGGACGCTGAGGGTTCAGACTTTGAGCCAAGAACCCGGACTTAAGGGCAGGTTGCCGCCAGCTCCAGGTCAGGACCACAGATCACAGCTTCAAGGTTTTGACCCAGAGGTTTCAGCTAAGTGTTTCCAGGTTTGGTGATCGAAAGTGACGGGGCTCTCAGGGCAGACCGCTTGGAATGATTTACTCACAGGGCATGCCCTTTCGAGTTTGACCTTTTTTCTAGATTTAGTTTTGGGGGGTTCAGTTTCGTTGCCGTGCCCCCATCTCTCGCTGCAGCGCCCGACTTCAGGGTATTCCTGAAGTACCCAACAACCCCAGAGCGTAATTCTGAAAAATCCAAGCCTCACACAGGCCACCTTCTAGGCATGCAGAATTTTGTCAATGCACTAAGCCTTAATCATTAGAAGCGAGTATTGTGCATTTTTGTGAGTCAGTTAATTTGGGTGCAGGCTTAGGCTGGAGAGGTCGAACATTTTGAACCTCCCAGACATAGGATTACCAGGATTGACCAAGGGCCACAGAAGCAGCTGTTCCTCTTCAGCGGTTGTTGTTGTGCCATTTGTTGTCGCCATCGACGTTTTAGGATCAACTGCAGTTCGAAGTTTCCAACCCCAAAACCCTAGATATCCAAAGAGCCACCGGAAGCCCGCCTTTCTTTGCCTCCAGAAAGGCAGAGCCTGGCAGATCAGGCAGGGTCACAGGGTCAGACTTGCAAACGTCGGGACATTGGGTGGGGTTTGTTTGCACCGGTTGTTGAAGCCGCAAGACTGGGAATGAACGATTCAGGGAGTCTTGAGTTTTTAGATTAGGGTGTACAGGTTCGGGCCTAGGGGTCTGGGCTTCTGTAGGGCATTGGCTGTAGCTTCAGAAGTTAATTCTTAGCAGCGCCGACCCCAACGGGGGTCATATCATTAGGCTCAAATGCTTCAGATGTCAAAACGGTGTGTTGTAACCTTGCTTTGGTAGGTGCATGTAGGAGAATTTTTTGAGGCCGAATGCGAGCAAGTTCATGCCAGCAACACAGCCTAGGGCATGGTTGAATGTCTCAGGCTGAGTCCTACATCTTCCTTGACAGGGACTGTACAGATCCCTTTATCTCGTAATTTCGGAGAATAACAAGTGGTGGTTCTGGCAGCCCTTTCTCCCACTACCTACCCAACCCTGAACTTCCAAGCCCGCACATAACACTCCGAAATGTTGCAACAATCGGAACTTCCAAGAGGACGGAAGCATTTCATGACCATACGCCCCACCAGCTTGAACACCATTCCTGATCCTGGCGCAGGTGCGTGGCGCCTGTCAGGACCTGGGCCTCACAGCCGACGCCGAGGATGCTTGCCGAAGGGTTCTGGGGCGCAGGGGTTCCTGTTGCAGGTTCAGCGATTGTTGAGGACTCGGTGTGTAAGGTAAGGGGATGAGGAACTAGGCTCAACAGTTTAGGGATGTACACGGGTTGCTAACAGAAGAAAAGGATACCTTTTGGCTTTGGCTCGCCGGCAGTAGCAAATTTCTAGGAGTTCCAGACTATGAGGGTCTTTCTGCCGTTGTGCTCGGAATTCTTTGTGCTACTGAAGTACACAACGCGGACCAAACATTGATGCCCGTTGCGTGGCCATGCCATGATCCTTACCTAAGCCCTAAATAGCTAATTTCTGAAGCAAAACGTGAGAAAAAGCACCAGTACAGAAACCTTACCTGTCGCGGAGAAGAAGCCAAAGCCCGACCCCAAGCTGAAAAAGGCTGATTGGACGTAGCACAAAACGGGCATCCCCCACCCGAAGTGAGAATCCTTATTTTCCCTCAGACTTCATTCCACCTGAGCCTTGCCCCAAACCTGAAAGCATATGCCACCTCGTCCCTACAACAATCCTTGAAGTCTTAGAGGACGAGGAGTTCTTTCTCACCTTGGGCTCCGGGGCTGCCACCGTGATTGGATCGAAGGCTGTCCCACCAGATTTTGGGTCCAAGCGGTAGGGAGCGTCAGGGTTGGCTTAGGGTTTCCTAACGCTTCGGGTTTGC